CTGACAGAGTGTGGCATCGATATCAGAGCAGCCTCAGTGTACTCAGGAGTGTTCACACAGATCTTTAAAGAGGAGAGAGGACTGTACCAGGACAAGGTGTTCTGCTTCATCCATCTAAGTTTTCAAGAGTTTCTAGCTGCTCTTCATGTCCATCTGACCTTAGTCAAGTCTGGACTCAATCTGCTGGAAGAACAAAAAACAACCTTCGTGAAGTCTGAAAAAAGAGAATCTGGAGAAACACACTTATACCAGAGTGCTGTGGACAAGGCCTTGCAGAGTCCAAATGGACACCTAGATTTGTTCCTCCGTTTCCTCCTGGGTCTTTCACTGCAGACCAATCAGAATCTCCTACGAGGTCTGCTGACACAGACACGAAGCTGTTCACTTACCAATCAGGAAACAGTCCAGTACATCAAGGAGATGCTTAGTGAGAATCTGTCTGCAGAGAAAAGCATCAATCTGCTCCACTGTCTGAATGAACTGAATGATCATTCTCTAGTGGAGGAGATCCAACAGTCCCTGAGATCAGGAAGTCTCTCCACAGATAAACCGTCTCCTGCTCAGTGGTCAGCTCTGGCCTTCATATTGCTGTCATCAGAGAAAGATCTAGATGTGTTTGACCTGAAGAAATACTCTGCTTCAGAGGAGGCTCTTCTGAGGCTGCTGCCAGTGGTCAAAGCCTCCAACAAAGCTCTGTAAGTTGTATGTCACAGTAGCATTCACATTAATTGTGGTTAATAGCCTTGTTAAATGATGAAGTAATGTGTCTGATCATGTGTGTTTTGTTTATTTTCATTTTTTATATTTTGTTCCTGTCCTGTTTGTCCATGTAGCTATTGAAATTGTTCTCTGAAGCCATCAGTAGTCCACTTTTCCCCAAGTGGACCCTTATGGCTTTTGCTGTGATTTTACTTGATAGTTATGTTTTATTAGAAGATAATACCAACCCAGACCCCCAACCGGACGGCCAGCTCCTGCTTCTAGCCTCCAGCCCCCGATAGTGAACAGAGAACGGAGGTGTGAACAGACCCCATGCCTCATTCCGCCTGCTCATGTGTGGTTGTCATGAGTGTAAAGTGCATTTAAAACAGGGAAACATAGCATCAATGACCCTCTGTGTTATGGAGTGGGAGGACGGAATTAATTAGGGATCAGGAGGAAAGTATGGGGGGACTAACTACCCCCTACCTGTTGCCTACTCACCTACTGACCGCCATAGGCACCTGGTTCCCCTGTATTAATAACATGTTAAGCCCTTTGGGGTTTTTAGGTTACAGGTTAAAGTTGACATGGCCAAATCAAATTGACATTTTTTTCTGCAATTACAATCTCTGTGTAAACCATCTTGGTATCAAAATAAAGCTAACATTGTGACAGGTCATCAGAAGTGCAAACATCAAAACAGATGCAACTGTATCAAATAACTGACCACAGGAAAAAACAAAAATATGAAGGAGTTTTTCTTTGCTTCATGTTTTATAACACATGCTTTAGTAGATTTAAAAAAAAATGAAGAAAACAATGAATCAACAAATGGACATTACCTGTGCAAAGGTCAATGCTGCTGAAGCGAAACAGAACTTTACAGACTGTTGATTTGAGACAGCAAATTAGTTTGCAATTTGTCATAATCTATCAAAGTTGAAATTTCTTTAGTATTCAATAACAGAAAATGAGTTGTTTTTTTTGTAGAAAGTGATTTTTGAAAAAAATTAACAGAACCACAGGATTTTTGTTTTTAGATCTTTATTGAAAATCAGTTTACCTGCTCTTTAGTCATTTGTTGTTTTAATAGTTTGTTGTTTAGATTCTGAAAGAATCTGAGCTTCAAAACTGAAATTGTGACGTTTCTGTGGATATCACACATCCTATATTTATTTAAATAATAGACATGGTAGTACATCCTGTTAAATCAGATATTCTCCCTCCCGCCTCTGCTACTGGAGGGCTGAATAAGCCCAGTTATTTCTTGATACTTCGCACTTTGTGTTTTGTCAGTTGACCAGCATGCCACAAGTGTGTAATGCAAACTTGTGTTTCTTCTGTTTCTTTGGTTTTCACTGTGTAGCCTGGTGTGGCTTACTATACTTGCTGTACACATAAATAAGGGATTGATGAAGAATGATTTAGCTGAAACCCACCCCCCCCACCTACCCCCACCCCCTTCCAACATGATCTCTATAAATGAACTGTCTGATATTTCTCTGAAAAATAAATAAAAATGTATCTAAATTGTATAATAAATAATACAAATAATTTTCTTGTTTGCTCTTATTGTCTTATCAGACTGAGTGGCTGTAACCTCTCAGAGAGAAGCCTTGAAACCCTGTCCTCAGTTGTTAGCTCTCAGTCCTCTAGTCTGAAAGAGCTGGACCTGAGTAACAATAACCTACAGGATTCAGGAGTGAAGCTTCTGTGCGTTGGGATAGGAAGTCAACACTGCAAACTAGAAACTCTAAGGTCAGTTCAAGTGACATTTACATTTTTCTTTTTAAAGATTTTTAAAGTTTTTAAAGATTGTGAAAAAAAATCACAAAGAAATCTTTATCTTTAAATCTATCTATCTTTCTGTTGTTTTATTGTTGTGTTCTTAGTAAAAATGTGAAATTTCTTACTTGGCTAATTTAGTTTAACAATCAGGTCAGAATTCATGAAGGTACACACACACACACACACACACACACACACACACACACACACACACACACACACACACACTACATATTGCCAAATCTAGTTACTACTTGCTGTACCATGAATACACTTTAATAACTGGGTTATTTGTCTTTGTGTTCATAATTTTTCAGACTAAC